GCTGCATCTTCCCCTCTTAAGAGGGGACAACCAGCTTTTGGCCTTCAGGAACCAAAGCAACAATTCATTTCAGACCCAGTGAACTTTTCCTCCTCAAAACTCCCCTGGAAAGGGAAACAGGCCCCCATGCCATGCCCCAGCATGGAGCAACACATCTACTCAGACCCCTGCTGTGGGCCACAGCCAGGGCCACCTTCCATAAGCTGGCCTTCTACTGGGTGGACCAGGAGCACTGGGTGCTCCTGCCAAGGATTCAAGCTCTAGATCCAGGTGGCCATATTTGTACTGCCTGCAAATCCCACTGGGCCAGGCAAGACTTCCAGTGGTGAGGGGAAAATGCTCTCTAAACCCCAAGCTGGGCCCTGGAAGCAGGCCAAATAAGAGTTTAATCTTTGTTTGGTCTCTTTTGATATCTCACACTGTGCTGCCAGACATTAACCCTATGCAAGTTGGGGCTGTTGAGTGAGGGGATGCACATTGGTCCAGCCAAACAAAGTGGGACCACAGAGAGCAAGAGAATGTGCCCAACTATGAAACCTGCAAAGGGGAATGTTTGTTTGCTTCCCCTTCAGCCTGGTTTACAGCTGTGTCTCTGCCACAGCAGAAGACACCCTGCTCTTCAACTGCATCCTACTGCAAGGCTGCCCATGCTGAAAGTTTTATTTTTTTTCTCTGAAGCTGCAGGCCACAGGTGCAAAACTGACATAGAGGGGTCCCAGGGCTGAGTCAGGATATTGCTTTTGCTGTTTCTTTAGAAATACCTCACCCAACTTCTTTTGGAAAAGAAAAGGAGTACTTAAAAAAGCAGTACCACTTGGTTCCCCTCCTGCCACAATCTATATTTACTGACACTGATGTTTTTAAAGGGCTCTTGGGAGGAGCCTTTGTGATTTCTGGGGACACTTCCCCTAAAAAAATCAGAGGATTTAGCTGGTGTTTTTGTCTCTGTTAGCATTCAGCTCCTAGATTTATGCTTCCAGAGAAATACCAAAGCTGACTTGGGCAAGTCAGATTCAGTGGGCATCTCTGTCACTTCCTAAACCTGCAGCAGACATCTCTTATAAAAACAGCTAAACTATATACTATGAACCGTGAGATAATTTGACATAAGATTTTCCAAGCATTTATAGGTGTGACTGCATTGGTGAAATAAGAGTTTGATTGGTTGCCCACGTAACTGTATGTGCCATCTTCCTCACTGACATTAATGCAGTAAAAACTTTTCTTTTAGGGTGCGTGTGCAGACATCTGGAATGCAGATTGTAATAATCTCTAGTTATCTCTAAATGTTACCTCTAAAAACATTACAATTTTTTGAATACGAAAGAACACGCTGTTTTCATAAAGCTTTACAGTCACCTCTGGAAGAGGTACCCCTCCTGATGCTCCAAGACAGAAAGGAGAAGAACTGATGGGATATCAGCTGAGAGGAGTGCTTCCTTCTCTAATATAGGAAACTGGACTTCTTTTGAATTATTTAGCATTCATTCAGGAGATAAAAATAGCCTGGCTAGATGAACCAGGGACCTCTTCTATGATCACAATGGCTGTAGTAGGCAAGTGGACAGGAAGAGCCTACAACTACACATCTCCATGTTCTCATCAGGAAAGCTTTAATCGTCAATGGAGACACAAGACAAGGCTGGAGTCACCTTGTTGAGAATGGTCCCAGAGAGAAGGCTCTCTCTTACACTTTAAATCATAGTACCTTGTCCTACAGCAATGTCTCAGAGCCCCAGGGACCAGTGCAGCACCACAGAGACTGACCTTGCTGAACCCCAGTCAAACATCTCAAGCTTTCCCACACAGCTTGGAACAATTTGTCATGAAAACACAGGTAACCCCTTCGCAAAACACATTTAAATGCTGTTTCTTTCACTTGGTAATATGCATTCACTGAACACACAAGCTGTGTTTCAGGAACAAGGAGCAGAAAAGCATCACTCCAAGAGGCATAGCTGGGATAAAATGTTCCACAGGAGAACCAGCATCTTCTCCATTACACATCTTTTTTGGTAGCATCAGAATGAGATGTTTGTTTAAACGAATGAAGTAGCATGGCTTCAGCAGTTAAACAGCTATTTTGTGTACTCTGGGAAGGGGGACATCAACAGACTGCCAAATGGGAAAGTCTCTCTGGACACTGCAAACAAACAACAAATTACGTAATTAGGCTTTTTTGGAACCAGAGGAAGGTCTCCAGAAGATCAGGGTCCTTCCAGTGCTTTCTAATTTTACTGGGACTTACCAGCAAGCCAGCCTTCTAATAACAGAGGCTTGTGAATGCTTTTCTTTCATCTTCGTGTCTCCCTGTACCTTTGTTATTAGTGCCCCAGAAAAACACATCTTACTCAATTTTACCGAGCTGATTGATACAGACCTGAATGGCAGAGCTGAAGAGGCACTAAAGACCTTTAGAAAGGGCAGCAAAGACATCTCTTGGCCACCAGAGCATGGGAAAACCTGAAATTTTAGAACTCTGTTGAATCCAATGTGCTAGGGAATTGCACCATTCTACGTAACTGTGATTTAGCTAAAGCACAGCACTATCAAGCAATGACAGAGTAAACAGGCTGTAGCTCTATAATCCACATATTGTGCTAGCATATCTGCTTTATTACCATTGGAGCAAATTCTTCCAAGGGAGGATGCCTGTAAGCAGCAGCTCAGTGTCAGGACCACTCAGCCTCTGTGCTGCAGGGCTGCCCTAAATTTGTGCCCAGGCAAACATGGGCCTGCAGGAAATCTTCTGCAAGTCAGATTGTACCATCCAACACCTGAACATGGACTGTAGCACCTAAGTTTTAGACTAATATCTACTGCCTTTCAGATACAGATTGGAATGTGTACAATGAGTTTAATTCTGCGCATGTCTTCTCCCACCTGAATGCAGAAAGCCCTTTAGTCAATATCTGGCCCTGTAGTCACCACCTCCTTATGCACCGTTCCCCAAGCATCTGCACCACACTGTGAACTCTTAAAATGGTGCTTCCTATGTATCATTCCTCCCTGTGATTACAGGGAGAGATAGTTCAAAGGCATTAGAGATATGATGGCATCTGCACAGAAAAAAACACACTGAAGTTTCTAAGAAAGCTGTTTCCCCCTGTTTTGTGCCTGCAGTGCACATTCTGACAGCCAGTAAACAGAGGAAGGAGGAGGATTGCTGGCCTGGTGAGGGCACACCAGCACACCCCAGGAGGCCAGGCAGCAGACCCAACAGGATGTGGTCAGCTCATTTCCAGCACACCCTTGGTTACTGCCCTGTTGGCAAAAGTCAGCAGTGGATAGTGTAGTGGAGGGAAGGCCACCACCAGAGGCAGTAGGCACAGCAGTGCCAGGGAGAAGGCATCACCATCCCACTGCAGAACCCCACATCACAGACTGAGCACCAAGACAGCACAGACACGGGTCTTGGATGAAGGACAGCACAGAGATCCTAACCAAAGTGGTGGATACAAGATAAGGGGGAGTCACAGCCCCTCTGAGCACAGTTGCAGAGCCTGTGTGTTTGGCCTGACGTGTAAACATGTCACATCCCATGGGAACTGAGAACAAATGTCAAAATCTAACTACTAGTAGCCCAGTTTTGCTAGTGCTGAGTGACCTGGATAAAAACTAAAGAGCCTTTGGGAGATATCCTTATAGCCTAGTTCATTGCATCTCTGCAGACAACTCCCTGCTTCTCCCAAAATGGGAAAAAATACAATCAAATAACTGCATTCCTCTTACTACAGTTATCATTCAGGAACCAGGAACCATGTGCTCTTGACCCTTGTGTGAGCAACATGCATGTTCTGGCCTCCAGATTGCTGGAGCTCTGAACTTCTTGCTCAGTTTTTCCTGGGAAGTCAAAATGACAACTGGTATAAATCCTTTTTTCTCCCTCTTACTTAAAGAAGTTTCATGAAGTTTCACTCTCCCTCTGCACACGCAGCAGATACAGGTAACAGACAGAACACAAAGACCACTCTTGGCACTCGTCACGGGTCCATCTCGGCTCCCAAGAGACCAGTAGTATAATACATAACAGTCAAGCCAACAGTTAGCTCTTCTCCAACACAGCAGTGCCCTTTATCAGTGACTGCTTTAAGTTCTATGCAGTGGTTTTGTGCTACAGAGATAAGTCCCTGTTGGCAGGGACTGATCTGCAAACACAGACTTCACTGTAGGAACAGCCTGAGGCTGGAATAACAGAACTCCCAACGCCTGCTCCTCCCAGAACACCAGCTGGGCAAGGAAATGCGTTCATGACATACCCAAGGATAGACGTTTTCTACTATGATTTATTGAGCTAGTTTATATTCTCCACATAATGTAATAAGGCTACAGCACTACTAATTTTTCCACCATCCACAGAGCAACACTGGAGTAGCCTCCAACAGCTTTCAGCCTCTTTTTCACTTGCAAGCAGCCAGATATGGTTGCAGTTGCATCCTAACCATGTGACTTCCCTACATGACAACAATTTTTCAAGACACGTATTGGACAATGACCCAGGCCTACAGCCTTGAGAAGAGGAGGAGGTGAAGTGACCTTCAACAAAGCCCTGAGCAGTAGAACAGACTGTGGCCCAGTCCCGGATGACATGACCCTCAACAGGAAAGAGGAAGTAGGTACCACAGTTCATATGTTCAGTTTAAGCCCTTCGCAAGACAGGTCCTTGTGACTGGATGGTCACAGGCATCTTGGTTTTGTTCTCTGCTCCACTGCAGAGCTGAGGCTATAGAGCTCTGCTCAGCACATGGGTATGGTGCAGGAGGTTGATCTCCCACATCAGTCCCACCTCCCTGAATGCTGGAGTGCCCATGACTAGGCACTCTCCGGCCTGTTAGCAAGGCAGGAACGCAGCATTTCAGGTTCCCCAAAGCACATATGGCCATACATGGTTTACTGCAATATGCTGGCACCCAAACACCTCTAGTGCAGCTCTGGGAGCCAAGTGCATTTTATTTCAGGACACACAGAGACTGTAAGGAATAAGTAAAACCTTCACTTACACTATCTCATCGTTTTGGAACTCCAGCTCCCCACAGGTGTCTTCGAAGTCCTCTCCTCCACCTTTGGCTGAGCCTTCAATGGTTTTGTAGGGCACAATAACATTTCCTCGTGCACCAGAGGTTCGCAACACTTTCACTTCCATGGTTCCTACACTTTCACTGATGTGAGTTACTGGCTCCTCAAAGGTGAAGATACCTGCGTGGTCATCGTCAAAAATGGTGACAGTGGCAGTAGATGGTGATCCCAAGCAGGCAAGTGTTGAGACACGACTGGCCTCATGAACGCCCTCATCCGAGGGCTCAGTGCTCACACGGACGTTGCTGAGATGTACCAGGAAGTTCTCATCCTCCTCAAATATGTCATCATCGATTATGCCAACACGGATTTCCTTCTGGGTCTCTCCAGGCTTGAAGACCACTGTCCCTTCAGTGAACTCATAGTCGGAGCCGGCATTAGCCGTCCCGTCCTCTGTCCGGAAGTCAACGTACACAGTGTTGGTCAAGTCGCCTCCCCGGCGAATGATGGTCAGGGCCACAGTGCCACAGTTCTCCAAACACTGGTAGGTACCCTGCTCAAAATAGAGCTTGCTGATGGGATCATTTTCCGTCACCTCACTGTTGACCTCGTGCATGCTGACGGCTTTGCGGGCCTGGTCTGCAGCATGTCTCTTCAAGATGTTGCCAGCTCCAGTCATGAGCCGAGTGGCCTGGATGCGGTAAAAGGCCCTGCTCTTCTGTTGCTGGCTCAGGACCTGGTAGTTGGCCAACTCTATAAGCTGTTCAATTTCCTTGTCTGGGTGCTTTTGTTTCAGCTCCTTCAGGATCCGAGCCATTTCCCTTCTGGCTTCCTCATCATCCTGGTCTTTCTCATCCACTTCCAACACCAGTGTCCCATCCAAAAAGTTCTCCACGTGAGAATTAGCAACCTTTCCGTCCATCTCGATATCAGCTTTGGAGGAGGGCCGGTCACCCTCGTGCTCTATGATCATACCTCTCTGCTTGCCAGCTCGGTATTTCTTGTAGACGTACTTGTAAAACAAAAGCCTCCTGTCAGCTATCCAGGCAAACACCACACAGATGGGGAAGAAGAAGAAGGTGAGCAAGCCTTCCCAAACCTCCACAATCCCAGGTGAAGACACAGATAAAATAATGTAAAGCCAAGTGTAGGCAAAGATGCTCCAGGCCGCCGTGACAAAAAACACTCGCAAGTGCTTGATCTTCCTTATCTCTCCATCTGGAACCACGTACACACATATCGCAATGATGACAAACATGTTAAAGGCAGCACTTCCCACAATCGTGCTTGGCCCCAGGTCCCCCGCTGTGAAGCCGTGGCCGCACACTTCGATGACAGAGAGGAGGATCTCGGGGGCGGACGAGCCCAAGGCCATCAGTGTGAGATTGGAAACGGTCTCGTTCCAGATCCTCACAGTGGTTTTGCTGGTTTCACCATTGGGCTTCTTGATGGTTATTTCTCGCTCTTGGGATGTAATGACTTCGATGGAGGACATGAAGCGGTCAGCTATGATAGACACTCCCAGGAACATGTACACCATCGCTACAAAATACACCGTTGCCCGAGCGATTTTGTCACCAAATGAGGGGTCTTGCGGTTCCCATATTGGTAAAATCACACCCTTTTTGCAGATGTATGAGCCAGCACACTCCTCAGTGTCATTCCCTGGCAGTTCACTGGGGCTCTCTGCATGTATGCCATCTGTATGGAAGAGCAACACCAGCACAAGGCTCAGGATCTGAAAGCTCACTGGGAAGGTGGGTGGGTGAGTTACTCGCGACATGGCCACTTCCTCCGAACAGATCCCAAACATCCTCAACCTTCAGAGACAAAAGAAAAGATGCATTAAGTGAGGCCAACCAGAGATAACAGATTTTCCTCTCCAGTGTCTTTATTTCCCATTTTTCCCAAACATATAATCAAGTTATCCTGTTACTCAAGAAGACCCATTGAATGAGCCAATTGTGTTATGATTACTGATGTTTTTCATGTAGAAGTTATCTAGTTCAGTCACCCGAACAAGGGTGGATTCAGATGCTACCATTGGAATAGCACCTACCCCCTTTAGCTACTATGATGTTTCTTTCTCTTTGCTGAAAGCCTATTTGTTCAACTGCATTTTCTTGTTCCTCATCTAATTAAAGCCCATCATTCTGCTTCACAGCTGGCAGAAGTGTTTCCCATTTCAAAATTACAGTGCATTCTCTCACTGGAATTCAGGGTAAGAGCAGGAGAGGGCAGAGAATCTACTATACCCTCATCATGTTTAAAAAATATTTTATACTTGCCATTTTAAATCACTGTAATCTATGTATTTCACAGCCTTTTCTTGCTCACAGTCCTCCTAAACATCTACTCCACATCAGAAATCTGCACAAAGTGTGCTCTCAAGCCCTGGCAAAACCTTATTCTTAACAGTAACTTGGTCATAAGGTGCACCAGAAGGGAAGTCTGTAATTAATGATTTTGGAGCCATTCCTTCCACAGCGCATCACTTTGCACCTTCCCAAAACTGGAAAGAGCCCCATATGCATCGAAGCCTGGCTCTCTTGGCATGCTTCGAGAGGAAACATGTCCCTGTGCTCTTTTCCCACTAGGTCAGCTTTGACGGCTTCCCCTTCAAGGGCCTTTCTCACTCCATTTACAACATCAGTCATCAGGCATGACAGCTGTACTTGCCCTTGTCCTGCCTCAGGATTTTCCAGCAATGTAGAGGAGCTGTTAAAGAGGTTTGCAGTTAGTTAACAGTGCATAAACCGACAGAACAGATGCCTTTAAGTACAAAGAGATGCTTAGTGCAAAAACCCGAGCATGCTCAGTGTTACATTCTCAATTTTACTAGCCAATAAAAGCCAGATCCCTAGTTATTAAAGCTATATTTTCTCCTCAAGGAGAGCCTTTGCTATACTATGCTTCTCCCATCCAAGTTAATTTAATCACATAGTGCTTAAAATGTTTCTATGAAGAGAGGAAAATGAGTACATCGATATCCTTTGCTGGGAAATACAAAAAGCTGAACTGGTTTTGCTCATAAAAAACTTACACCCCTGAAAGGAAAAAAAAAATGTTCAGCCATGAAAGGTTTAAACTTCTAAGAGAAAGATCTCATTTCCAGGCCCATATCAGAGATGGGACACAAGCGAGAGACCCAGTCAATGCCTCCTCAAGTACAGTCTTCGAAGCGCCTGGCAGGTCTCACCCTACCATTTGCCATCTGCCTGGTCTCCAGCAAAAACACACCAGGTCTGACGGTTCACAGCTGCATGCACTGGGAGACACAGACCAACCCATTCACACTAAAGGTGGCACCCAGTGACAGCATCCCAGCTGTCATCCGGGCCCAGTCATAGTGATCGGGACCCAAATGGGATGGCTAAGAATACCTTCCCTCTTCCTTCTGAAAGAGGTCTTGTTTCACAGCACAGCTGGGACACAGGCTGCCTCTCCAGCCACAGAACAGGGTACACATGCTGCATTGCTGACTGCAATAGTACAGGCAGGCATTCCTGAGGAGAAGCATTTACCCTCCTAAACAGGAACACACCAACACCTTCTTGAAGAAAAGCACCTGGTAACCACCACCCATCTCCTTCTCCCCCATGACAATTTGCCCCTCCTTGTTAGGGCAGGGGCATATTATGCAGAGACAAGGCTGTGCACAAGTGAACACCTGATTGGAGGAAGCAATGGGTAGCATCCTGCACCCATGTTACTCCAAAAGAGACATTGTAATGATGGATCAAAGCCCTCTCCTCTGTTTGCTTTTATTTATGGATGCTGTAGTAGGATTATTGGTCTGGAAGAATAATACTGAGAATTTATCAAGGCAGTTTTATATAAATGACATTTTCTCACCAGGAACTGTTGGTCTGCCTCCAACCCCCGCTCCCCAGTTTTGTAATTAAGAAAAGAAAAAGATACATAGTGGAGGAAATGAGCAAGTCAGAGAGCTGGGTGATAAGAACAGATAAGATGAACAAGAAAAAGCAAATCTCTTGTAGGAAGATAGATTTAAAAGAAAGTTGTTTGTGTTGGAAATCCTGCTAATGCTACAAAAAAAGTTCTTACTGCTGGATTCAGAAGCCCTGAGCATTGCACCCCTGATCATAGTCCCTGGGTGCCTTCCACTTTCCCAAATGCAAACTGTAGCCACTGCTTATAAACTCGAAGTAAAAAAAATGAAAACACGATGTTTGTAAAGAAGAGTACCTTGTTGCAGGCCATTCAGCAGATACCAAGTTGAAACAGATGTGCATTCATGGTCACTGAAGTTTAGCTGAAGCATGAATTAGTCACCCAACATCTGTACTCCTGTGTTTCACGCTGCTCCAAACCAAATCACAGAGACATTTGATAAAGGGGCTGTCAAAACACAGGCTGACTTGGTACCTACTCTGTTTTTCCCAGATAGCTCGTAAGTGTAGTTTTGTTTCCTTTTTAAATATGTAGGCTTAAAAAAATTCATTGTAGGCATAAGATATTACTCAGCTGCATGGTTCTTCACCCTCTCCTTCTAAAGGGTAGTAGTTTCTTCAAAAAACTCAAGAACATCCACCTGCCCTTGTTCAGTTAATTTTTCTCCCTGTGGCAAGTCATATCCCTGCACATGTACAATTATTCAGAGCAATCAGGCATTGTGAAATCCCCTTGGCAAGAAGAGAAAACAGATGGTTCTAGAAAAAATATTATGCTTTGGGTCACTGATTTAGGTCATAGGAGAGTCCCATCACACTTTGGACCAAGTCTACAATCTCAAAAGGATTTGGGCACTGGAAGTCTCATCCAGAAAAAAAGACATGCATGAAATCAAATTAATAAGTCATTTGAACTTTATTTGCCATGTTCTTCCCTTTTAAACATTCTAATACAAGTTGGTTTGGGGTTTGTTTTTTTCTATTTGATTGGTGTTTTTAAATCAAGTCCCATATTATGTTAAACAGGAGGAAAAAAGACCTAGAGGTTTGCATCTGAGCAGTCCATCTTTCTGGCATTTCCAACCAGCATGTCACTTACAAACAATACTTTTCCCTCAGATGGCAGAAGGTAAAAAATGTGGAACTTTTTTGGAGATCTCAGAGGGATAAGAAATGGCTGGAGCTTTGGAAGAGAAACCCATCAGCCATATCAATGTGCCTTCTTTGAGCAGTAGTAGCGTCCCCCAGCTTTCTGTTCTACTTTCTCCAGCATTTTGTGGTGTGGTCATCAAACAAGATTGACATACCATCACCAGCTTTCCTACTTAAACCAATTCACAGTGAGGCTCAGGAATTAGGGAGGGCTAGAAAATTCTTGTCCACAACATGCTAGTTACACACATGCAACCAGAGCCTGACACTCAAACTATCTTTGAGAAGCAGCTGCTATTAAATCATCATAATTTCTTTATTTGTACAATCCAAAATAAACAGCTTGGTCCCCAGAGACCCTCTTACTCTGCATTTGCCTAGGGTCTCAGCCCATGGTCAGCACACTGCTGTAGGAATATTCCCAGACAAATCATTTACATTATTCTACAATGAGGAGCAAGGCTACTAGAAGAACAGCCCTTCCTCCAAACCCAACTTTGTTAGCTTTTCATTAAGGTGTCTCAATTGCATTTCCTATCCTGGCCATCAACAATAAAAGCAAGTGCGGATGCTGATGCTGGCAGCCCTGGCAAACCCTGCCTGCAGTGGTGCTCGTGGCCTTGGAGGCACTACCCCAAAGCCTCTGGGATCAGATGGATCATGGCAGCACTGAGCAGAAACACAGGCTGCTCTGGAGCTCAGTTGCTGGCCATACATGTGTGGTGAAAAATCCCAAACTACCATCCTGGGCCAGCACAGCCCTGCCCATAAGCACTACCTGATGCTCAGGGACAGCACCAAGAGCCCTTTTTACCACTGCAGGAGTGGAACTGTCTTGGGGCTGCTGGAGAGCTTTAAGGGAAAGCTAGAGCCAGCCAGGAGAGACAGAGCCCAACCTGGGTTCTCCTGAAGTTGCAGCTGAGCCCCTTCCCTTTTGAAACAAGCTCCCCAGGGGTGCCAGCAGGCCGCTTTGCAAAGTCAGGGAGAAAAACTCATGAGAGGCTGCATGGCAAGCTCAGTTTAGATGTAGCTCCTGGCCAAGGGACGTTGGTCCAGCCTTTATTCCAACCTTGGTGTTGTGAAACACCAGGAGAGCAGTTGTGGCTTACAGCAGGGCTAGGAGGGTTGCAGAGATACTTGCCTCCCTGCACGACATGGGAACTCTAGGTTTTACAAATTGGCAGGAGAGAGTTCGTGTTGCCAGCTCATGCTCCTGGCCCCCAGCTCAGGAGCTGCCAGATAGGGAGGAAATGGCCTTTTAGACTCTGCTCTGACAGCTTTGCTCCTTCAGGCCGGCTTGTCGCTGCATGCAAAGTGAGCCTGAAAGCTGCTCTGCATTTAAACAAAGCGCAGCTTTTGCTTTGCTGCAGCCCCCCAAAAGTCTCATCTCCATTGGGGCATTTCAGCCATAAAATATCCACCGTAAGACCCTTCCTGTTATTTTCCTACACCTTTGTATCACACACAGGTCTATAACCATCTGCAACACACTGGAAGCACCGTTATTTTTAAGAGTACTGAAAAAACACTGCTAATCCAGACACTTTATTACAGAAGGATTGGGCAAGGAAGAAAATGGTCTAGGCTCACAAGTGGCCACACAAAGAGAGACTGAGAGACTTTCCATGGGGAAATTTTTTCCCACCATTCAATAGAAAACCTGTACAGAGCAGCTGTAACACAGCAGTGTTCGCACCATTACAGCCACTGCCGATGCTACCCAACGGTGCCTACCCCACTGTGACATCAGCTTC